CAAGCCATCGTAACTTTAATACGACCGAAAATATCCCTCATCAGTTTGTCGGGTAGGTTTCCAACTGATATATCCTAATTTACCGGGTCGCGCTAACCATACATACGCGCGCTATAGATCGAAGCACTACTTCTTGATGTCGCGCTTCATGTTCCCCTTCATCATCATCGGTCTGTTCTTCGCCGTGTGCTCTTTCTTCACTGGTATGCTGGCCATGTGCACCCGCATTGCCAGCTACCTCTCCGGTTTCCTGGCCTGGATCGGTTTGACTTTCCAGGTCATCACGACCTGTCTCATGACGTATGTATCACTATAATCGGAAATTAGTTTGTCCCAAAGACAAAATGCTAACTATATTTCATAGTGCTGTTTTTGTCCAGGGCCGCCATGCGTTCAAGAGTAACGGCCAGGACGCACACCTCGGTGTCAAGGCATTCGCCTTCATGTGGACCGCATCCGTTTGCCAGTTCCTTTCATGCTTGATGTACTGCCTCGGTGGTGCCGTCGGCCGAAAAGATACCAGCGGTGGATACAGTGGACGCAAGGAGCGCCGCCGTGGTTTCTTCTCCTCGCAGCGCTCAAACAGCGTGAAAAGCCAGAAGAAGGAGGGCACCAGCTTCGCTTAAATGGATATACCTCAAGCCATGAAAAGCCCGCTTCCTCATTTCGACAACGAGCCGGAGCACCTGAAAATGTCGACTTCAAAACGTCGATCTCTGGACCATTTCACACACGACTTTGTATTCCCGCGTTGATATCCCCTTTGAGAGTTTATTCTTTCTTCAGGAGGCCGCTTGTTACACTTCGATCTTGTCAATCTGCATCTGATAGACCCGGATGCAGCCTGGAAGATCGAACCACCCACACTCGCTTAATGCTATCACGAACCCCTCACGATCTTTACCACATGATAAATCTACGGCCTTCCTGTATAAGATGGCAATTGAGCATTCTTCGCGCCATACTCTCCCTGCCTTGAGTCCGGTTATGTTTTCTAAGGCACTCGAGCCTTTGATGATCTGTTGATGAATCCCATGGTTCGATGATTCTCCCCGATTTGAAGATCATGCAGGAATTTGTGCTTTCGGTTGCGAACCTATCTAATCTAGTTGTAATATAATATCTACCACCGTTATTTGATGATCTTTGCGATGTAAATGGTATAAAGTCATATAGCTTGGATTCTTGTGTAACCACGCTTTGGAGCAAAGCTAGTCTCAATGATTATTCCTTGTAGAGCAGAAGGAGAAATGTCGACTGATACGTCAGAAATTAAAGGGGCCTAGCAGAGTGAAGCTGGCTGAAAAGAGAACCAGTATTGATTGGTTGCATATAACTGAGTCTATTTAAGAACTAATAAAGGGAAAGACTCCATGACGATAACTGCAGTACAAATCGTGGACAAAAAGAAAAATCACAGCCTCTATATCAGTCATGCATGCATCATCACACCATAAACGAAATCCAACATTTTTATTTTTATTTCACGAGGAAAAAAAACCTAAGCGGAGCCGTTGACAGCACCACGGACAGCGTTCTGGGAGCCGACCTCGCGGACGGCGATCTGCAGACCAAGATCGGCGTTGACGTGGACCATGACCTCGATCTTGCTGCCAGCCTTGACACCCTTGACGGCGAGCTCAGCAACGGGATTCTCGGTCTTCCAGATGATCTCGCGGGTCTCCTCTTCCTCTTCATCCTCGGAATCGAAATCGGAGTCATCCTCGTCTTGGGCGGGCTTGTCCTCCTTAGCCTTGGGCTCAGGCTTGGTGACCTTGATCTCACGGGCACCCTCGCACACGCGGACAAGAACATCGCCACCCTCCTTGGGGGCGAAGTACTGAGCGATGCGGCGGGCGGGGAGGGCAGTCTCGGCGCCGAGGAGGGGCTGGAAGGTAGTCTCGGTCTGGGAGGTGAACTCGACACCGATAGCCTTAGTCAGGTGAGGGGTGACAGTGACCATAGGGTGGATGGACTGCTCGATGTCCTCGTGGTCGAACTCCTGGACGAGGGAAGCCTGGAAGGCGGCTCCACGAGCAGACAGCTCGGAGGGATTAACGGCAGTGACAGAGGTGGCGGGAGCCAGGATTTTGGTCTTCTCGGGGAAGATGTTGCTGGCCAGGCTGGCGAGCTTGGGGGTGTGGGAAACACCGCCTGAGAAAATGACCTCGTCAATGTCAAGGACGTCGAGCTCGGCCTTCTTAACAACTTGCTCGATCAGAGCAGTGAATTGGCTGAAGACCTTGCCGGAAAGAAGCTCGAAACGGGTACGGTTAATGGTAGAACCGTAGTCAACACCGTCAACCAGGGACTCAATGCTCAGCTGAGCGTTGCTGCTCAGGCTGAGGGCCTTGCGGGTGGCCTCACACTCAAGCTTCAACTTGGCCAGACCACGAGCGTTTTCGCGGGGGTCAGTCTTGTGCTTCTTCATGAACTCCTTGGCGAAGTGGTCAATGATGATCTTATCCAGGGAGGCACCACCAAGCTCGTAGTCGTGGGCAGTAGCCAAAATAGTGTACATGCCACCGCGGCAGGCAACAACGGCAACATCGGAACGGGTGCCACCGAAGTCAGCAACGACAACCAGCTTGTCGACAACAGTCGCCTCGGGGCGAGCATCGTAAGCCACGACAGCGGCAACGGGCTCATGGATCAGTTGGAGAACGTCGAGACCAGCAGCCTTAGCGGAGGCAACAAGGGCCTCACGCTGGGCATCGGTGAAATCGGTGGGGATGGTGATAACGGCGGCGTTGACATCCTTACCAAGGTAGTCTGAGGCGGAGCGTCTCAGACGCTGGAAGTGACGGGTGGTGATCTCGGAAACAGTGACAGTGTTAGGGGTCTCGCTCGAGGTGTCGCGGATGGTGAACGCGATAGTCGAGCCCTGCTGCTGGGGGTGGGCCGACTGGTGGCAGGGAGTAGGGTCGATCGACTTGAATTCCTTGCCGAGGAAATCGCGGAAGTATGCGACGGTGTTGGCGGAGTTACGAACAAGCTGGGCCTTGGCTTGTGTGCCGTGGTACTCCTCGCCGTCGATATAAGAAAGAATGGAAGGAATTTGACGATCTGAGTATGTTAATTCAAATTCTCAAATCGTGGGGCTTGATTGTCCTCACCTCCCTCCTCGTTGGCAATAACCTCAGCCTTGCCCTCCTATAAATGTGTCAGTCACAGTTATTTGACCCAAAGAATGAATATCAGGACGTACAGGCGAGATACGGGCAATCGAACTGCATGAGTTACCAAAGGAGATACCGATAGCAAAGCGCTCAGCCTCAGCGGGCGCACTGTTGGCAGCGTCACCCATGTCGAAGTTGTAAATATGTACTTTTTTGGATTGAAAGAACAAGGATCTCACGTTACGGCGTGAGAGTAGATCCGGGGGTATCGGAGGTAATTGGTGGAAATCTCGATTGAGGGGGAACGATCGAAAAAGATTTTTGAAGATTTTCGTCTGCCGCAAATGTGGCTAATAGTTATCGATAGTGGTTGTGGCGTTGTCGATAAGGCATCGCGGGCATTCATTGAGGTCACATGGTGATAAGAAATGTCGTTTTCTTTCCAACAGGATCAATGCGCAAAAGCAGTCGCATCTATCTACCTGAGACTGCCTGAGAGAAATTCAGCAATAAGCATTGATCCTCTTCCCTCGGAGTATTCTACACTGAGGATATTTTCAGAATACAGCTATCAGTCTAGCATCATGACTGCCCTTGTCCTATTACCTAGCGATGAGGTACCTCAAGACCATCTTCCTACCAACAACTCCAACCCTCTACGACTAGGCCCCGGCCTCCGTATCCTATCACAGCCCTCTTCAAATGGGTCCAATCATGTCTTAACAGCAACACAGGCCGGTCTGTTGACGACCGATGCGAAACGAAACACCGTCTCGCTTCTTTCTTTCCCGAATCGCCGATACATTCCCACCGTCAACGACTTCGTCATTGCTCAGATCCACCACTCCAGCGTTGATTTCTTTCACTGCATGGTAACTCCACACACGGCTCACGCGCTTCTGGGTCAGCTGTCCTTTGAGGGCGCATCCAAGAAGACAAGGCCAATGTTGAAGCAAGGCGAGCTGGTGTATGCCCGGGTACAGTCCGTGGGACTCGGTGCCGGCGCCGAAGTTGAACTCACCTGTGTCAACCCAGCAACTGGCAAGGCTGATGGAGGATTGGGACCCTTGACAGGTGGAATGGTATTTGATGTTTCAACTGGTATGGCGGCCCGGTTGATTCGAGCAAGCTCCACTTCTGCCGAGAACACGGATGCAATTGAAGGGCTGGCTGTTCTTTCTGAACTTGGAAAGAAGCTGGAGAGCTTGGGAGGATTTGAGATTGCAGTTGGCCGCAATGGAAAGGTGTGGGTGGACTGCTCTATCGCTGCAGAAAGTGCTGTCAAGGTCACTGTTGCAATTGGGCGCTGTCTACAGGAGACCGATCAACAAAATCTTCACACTCATGACCAAAAGAAACTAGTGATGAAAATCCTAAGGGATATGAAGCTCGTGTCCTGACTGTGTCAGTAGGACCTAGAGTATTGGTTTCACGACTTGCATTTGCTTCTTATGTTCTTTATGCCAGCATGTACACTATTAATGCAATCATGAGCATGATACCTGCCAGCACTGTGTTCAACGAATGCTCAATGTCTGAATACATAATAGATTTGTTATGCAACACTGTATGGAATACATGAGTCTCCGTAAAGTTGTACAATGGCCAGCCATTATTTGGGACTGTTTAATAATTCTGCTTTATATTTTTAGCAAATGTTATCTTAGTCTCAAGTCCTTTCTTCGTTGTGATTCTATTGTTCTCCTACAACCATCGACAATTGTACTGTAGCAATTGATATAGTTCCACATAGGCGGTCAGCTTCAGCGGTGAACCCAATTGCCGCGCTGCATGCTGTAAATTTTGAAGAAGCTTGGTCTCTCCTTTTCATTGCAGCAGCTAATCTTCCCCCCTCCCTACTCATTGTTGCAGCTCATTGCCATGGGAAATACATCTTCTCAGCTCGAACCATACCCTGAAATTGCTGACGATTTTGGAGATATCGGTTGGTGAAATCACTTGATCTTCACGCGACTCGGTACTAAAATTTGCAATCTGACAGTCCCTGAAACTCCCAATCCCCCCAAGGTTGGCGGGACGAAGAAAAATAATAAGGAACACATATCATCAGAAACCGAAGCATTATCTCCAGTGATTGGGAAAGCCTATGGTACAGAGCGCCTCTCAGAATTAGACTCGAACATGTCGAATCCTTCAAAGCGAAAGCGCGACTCTGAACCTGAGCGCAAAAAAAAGATCAAGAAGCCTCGCAAATCAGAAAAGTCCGTTGCCGAGTCACCTTCACCAGAAAGAAGCTCAACCCGCTTTGAAATTGCTATTCACAATGCCCCCACTCCCAGCCAACCCACTACATCAAAGCCTAAGTCTTCGTCAAAGAAGGTTCGCAAGCAGAATGGCAAAAACTTGAATATCCTCACTTCATCCACTGCTCAACCTACTCTCGAATCAACGGTTGCAGAAGGACCGTCCGCTGTAAAGCAGCTGGCTGCCACCAAGCGAACTCCAGCCCCTGACTCGCCCAACACTGAGGATAGCAACACGCCAGGAGGCAAGACCAAGGGAGTTAGAAGCTCGCGCATTAGGGAGAGGGACAATTTGAAAATTGGCTTCTATACGCCGGATGAAGTGCGAAAAATCGAAGCGTACAAAGTCAATGTCTGTACCATGCATGGCATTCCTAGTGCCAAATTCGACGAGATGGTTCAGCATTCTGAGCGTACCCGTGAATTAAGCGTCGAATCTCCATTCTTCTCATATGGCATCCTCAAAGGCGACTTTTGGGACGAGATCTACGCTCTTCTTCCGGATCGTGATCGGCGATCTGTATACCGATTCATGCGTCGACACTTCCAAGCTTCGGCTCAAAGGGCACACGAATGGTCGAAGGAACAAGATGATGAGCTTATCGAGCTCCACGCCCAACACGGTCCGAAATGGACTTTCATTGGTAAGCTCATTGGGCGCAGTGATGACGATGTCACTCAGCGCTGGAAGAACAAGCTCGAGCACCAGAACACCATGAACCAAGGTGCGTGGTCGGAGGAAGAACACAAGATGTTCCTTGACGCCGTGGAATCAACGTGGGTCACCATGAAGCCAATGCTTCCCGATAAGGCAGGCAAGGACATGTACGAGCTGGATGAGCGCCTCATTGTATGGGGTAACATTAGCAAGGAGATTGGTTATGTGCGGTCTCGACAACAATGTGCAGACAAATGGCGCAAGATCGTGAAACAGGTCATGGTCCTGCGGGCCAATGGCCAGCCAGACGCGGTGTTCGATCCCAAACTCGCTGCTAAGAAAAGTGCCCACTGGAACATGAGATTGGAGACGCAAAGGAAGAGCTCTCAATTCGTGAACGAGGATACTGATGACGACGAGGACATGATAACTACCACCCCGAGCTCAAAGCCCCATGATGAGGCAGCACCATCTTCCATTGTCAATGCCAATGCCGAGTCTGACCACGAAGCGCAGTCTAAAGAGGGTGAGCCCAACTTGCCCGCACCTCTCAAAAATGATATGAAGTCAAAATTTAAGCGCAAGCACAATGAAGATTCCGCGTCCGGTCCCATCGAGAAAGCCCCGTCATCTCCCGGCGCCCCCCAAAAGAGCAAGGAGGAGAGGAAGCGCGAGAAGAAGGAGAGGAAGGAGAGGAAACGCGAGAAGAAGGAGCAACGAGAGAAGAAGAGGCAAGAGAAAGAAAAGGGAGAGCAGATTGAGCAAGAAGTCCCGGAAGACAAGGCCGCACGCAAAGAGCAAAAGTGGAAGAGGAGGGAGGAGAAGAAGAAGCGAAAGATATTAGAAGAGGAACGTCTCGCTGCCGAGGAGGCTAACCAGGCATCTGGCAGTAATGAATCCCCTAAGGAGAAGAAAAAGTCCAAGAAGCAGAAACAAGCTTCCATTGGCAGCCCTACCTCTTTGGTCAAGCCCTCTCATTCTGTTGTCGAAGCATTCCCATTGCCCACATCACCTGTTTCTCACGGTGCTGATGCTGTCGATGATGAATATGACTCAGACGGCGGAGATGAGGACAGCGAAGTTTACTTCAAGTACGAGAGTGACTCGGAAGAGCTGTGAAACTTCATGAAATGAAGATTTTGCCTTTGCTATTGCTTGCTTTCTAGATTCAATTATACACTTGTTTGCTAGGATGTCAATTCTTATGAGAGCAAGCAGTAGAAGAAATCTTCCATAAAAATGTAACGGAGATTGACTATTCAATCCAATAAATGCAACAAGTGTAATCATGAATGCAATCGCTCTCCAATGAAACCCACCGGGTCAACTATAATTCATCTTTGCGGTCCTCGCCAGTCTGCACAAACTCAACCCCAGCAGCAGCCTGCTCGCCAGCAACGCGACTCGCCAAAGCCGCAATCTCATCATCATAGACCGTCCATTCAGGAACCTGCCTCCTAGCCCTCTCTAGCTTAGGCTCCTTAGTAAGAGGATTGTTACAAAGGTCAATAGTCTTCGCCACACCTAAATCTTCATCCGAACACCAAGTCTCACACCAAAGCCACTCCTGCGGCAGACTATGGATGGGAATGTGATGCTGCATGTGGTTGGGCAGGTCCTGGTCGAGATTGCTGAGACTGTTTGGATCCGACGAGAGCATCTGGTATTGGCCGCGCAGACGGTCGCCAGCAGCAAGCGCGCGGAAGCGGTTCAAGTCGACGACGTACAGCGCCGAGATGTGGTAAGGCTTGCCTCGGAGGAAGGTGGACCAGTATCCTTGTTTCCAGAAGCGGAAGCCTTCCATTTCGGTTCGAGAGTCACCCATCGGCGTGAAGCCGTAGGGCGCTTCTTGGAGGTCGTGGGTGACAAGTTCGTACATGTCGGTGCGCACAATCTGATCCGCGTCGACGAAGATTACTTTGTCCAGGGAGAGGGGAAAGAGCACATCCAGGAAGAGAATCTTGTACCCCCAGATCTCGCGTTGCTTTTCTTTCTGGGCGCGCAGCCAGTGCGGCCACTTGTATGTTACCATCTCGTATGAGAAGCCGTATTCGCGGGCGAGAGAAGGGAGGAAGGCGCGGAAGGATGGGGAGAGGAATTGCTCGATGAACCAGAATTTGACGGTGTGTTTGGTGTGTCGCATCACTGAGACCATCATGATGTTTAACATGCGCTCATAGAGGTGTCCACTAGCTACTGAGAAGATGTTGATATCGGCGTGCTGTTCGCCTCCGCTCTTGGACCCGACACCAACACTGGAGAGGACGTCAGATGCAAAGTTGAGTCCTTTGGCAAAATAGTCCATCTTTGAGCCTAGCTGGACTCCTGTCTCGAGAACATCGTCTTCCTCGTGGCCTGGCTTTCGCGACAGTCGAGGGAATAGCGTCCGACCATGGAAGGATAGCAGAGCAACCTCATTGTTCTCGTCACCGCTCTGCGGATTGTATCCTAGACCACCAACGCTATCGATCTTGAAGATCTTCTCGCTACGTCCGGGCTTCAAGTTGATCTGCCACAAGCCTGGCTGTGCCTTGAACTGGAAGTATCCCAGGTTGGCCATGATGATAGTATCGGCGAAATAGGGGTTGTTCTCAGTGCCCAAGATAAGCTGGACACCTCTAGGTGGAGTCTTCGTTGTAAGATCACGAGAGTGGCCCTCGATCAGAATGTGCTCGAGAGCGTAGACGGCATCAACATCAGTACCAGACTTGACCGAGCTCAACTTAATGTTATCCAGGTCGTAGACTGATTCACTGGGTGCTACGAGCCAAGATGACGGCACATCCATGCTCAAAGTCAGCAGTGCTTCGACTGGCACGCCAGTGAATGACGCCTGCGGCCGAGCCAGAGCCCCCTTATCCGTGAAAGATGGCTCTGATTCCAAGACATAGCGGTAGAATCGCTTGACTGGCAGCTCCGTGAGCTCTTCCTTCGGGTTCAAGAAAATCTTCAGTTGAACGCCGGAGAGTTCGGACAGTACCTTCAGAATCGGCGACCATCGCTGGGCAACCTCGGATGCTGGGTCAAGGCTAACACCAACGTGAATCGTGGGATCATCGGAGTTGGAAATGGTGATAACAGAGTGCTCCGTCCTCCATTTACCGGAGACGTCCATTCTGAAATCAGGAGTATTTTCGAAAATGCCCTCAGGGACATCAGAGATGGTGGAAAGAGCCACAAGCGATGTCAATTTAGCGAAATCGAGCGGGTTTGAAATCTTATCCGCGAATCCGAGTTCCTCAACAGCCGCCGCAACAGAATCGAGGCGTTTCACCCGTTCGTAGGCAATCAGTTGGCTCATCTCTCCCACACTCAACGGATGTTCCTTCTCAATAGGGCCGACTGCTCTCCCATTGACAACAAGTCCCTCAGTGCCAGGGTTGAATCCAAGTTCTTTGGCCAGGATTTGGTGCAAAGTTTGAATGGTAGAGATATCTTGGACTTCAGTCTCGAGATTACCGGATGCAATCTTAGCCAGTACTTGGTCGATAGTTTCCTCCTTCGCAAGCGAGATATAGAGAGTAGCGAGATTCTTGGGGGCATCATCCTCGGCGTCCGATGCCGCATTGTGCAGCATCAGAATCTCCACGTCACTGTTCTCATTTCGAAGATTAAGAGCATCGGTAAGTAGTTTCACACCCGCCTCTGACTCGAAATCGCCCACAACTATCATATGAGTGCTCTCTAGGGCTCCCTTGTCTGAGAGAACACGAGTCTTACTCAATGCATCTTCATCCGAGGCAAGAATATTAGCGATGTCCACAATCTGTACACTCTTGGGATCCTCGGGCATGAGGAAAGTATTGCGTTTCGCGAATGCGTCAGCTAGGAAAAACTCCGGAAGCCATGTGTCCTCCTCGAAAATTCCCTGAACAATGCCTTGCTGGATCAATTTCAAGTCCTTGCTGATCTGTACGCTCATTCCCTGCATCCAGTTGCCTTCTCGGGAGACAGGGATACCGTTCACTAGAAATTGAGGTGCGTCGCCCGTCAGACTCAACCGACGCTGGTAAGCACCAGTTTGGGACACCACAGCGTCATACTTTTCACTCTTCAAGACTTGATCAAGAGACAGAGCTTCGTGTTCGTCAACCAGGTCGCGTTCTCTAGTCGCAGACTGGAAGCATGATTTGTCTGGGAAGCCCATTTTGCCTTTCGCGGCATACTCTTGGAAATATTGCACAAGAGACTCTATGCCATATGCATCAGAAAGGTAATGCGCTACCTTCAGCTGCGCAATGGACTCTGGCGACGAGATGGTAGGTACCAAGCCGAATCTCACAGGGATTCCTCGGTTGATGAAGGCGTGCAAGTTTCCAGCAACAAGCATCATGTGTTCTGGATTAGACGAGTCCATAGAAACAACGACATTGTGCAGATCCCGGCTCACCGGAGGCAATTGTCCCGGGTAAGAGCCGGCGATGTACTAGAATTATGTTAATATGAATTCCGTCCAATAGCCATACGAAATAAGTACGAACCCCCTCGATATCACCACGCCAGGACTCATATCTCGAGTCCTTTTCCAGATTGTTCATCCAAATGATAACCTGGTTCCCTTCTAAATTATCCCGGTAGTCATACCGTTGCTCCTCGCCACTAGCTTGAGCTTCAGTGAGGAGTCGATGTGACAGTAACTTCACGACATCATCCGCAGAGAGACCGAGGCCGCGGAATTTCTCAATCAATTTCCTCTCTCGGCGAAGATGTTCAATAAGTGAGAATGCGTCAATCTGTTGTTTGTCCATCTGCACACCGTTGATCCACATGGCATTGTAACCACCAGGAAGCATTTTTAACCGGTTGTGGCGGATCTCTTGTGCCATTTCCCCAGTGGAATTGTGGGCAGCTACTATCGATGAATACTTGGGGAAATTTTGGGACATCTTGATCAATGTTCCCAAAGGATCAGCGCTGTCCATAACGTAGCCCGCAGAGTTCAAGCCTAGACGGGTCACATCGGAGGAAGACAGAGGCCGGAGGTCACCTGGAGCATCTTCCTTGGTCTCATCCGGGTCAGTTGGAAGACTTTGGGCGCCCTTTTCTTCGAGCTGCTCTGCATCACGGTCATCAATAACAATGTAGTCCGTTCGCTTCAAAGCAAGCTCCACGCCGTATCCAGACACAAACAAGGGACGAGAAATCCAGTGTTGGGGAGGTCTATAGCGTACACGGTACGAGACTTGTCCCTGTTTTGCCATGTCGCTCAGGGTTTCATGAAAATCTCTGAACATCGGAGAGGTGATATCTGCGTACAGAACGGCCGGAGGGAGCGATGCATCGCCTAGGACACGATCAAACGGTAGCTCTCTAGGATCCCTAAAGGCACAAATTCAATGTCAGCTATTAGAGTCCATGCGACACGAACAAAGCTCTACCCACAATTCTCCGACAACGTCCTGCTGTGCGCGCTCCATGGTAGAAGAGCAATACTGCTTTCCTTCCGAGTGAACCCACACGGGACACACCGCATCTTGAGCCACCATCAAGGACTGCTGAACTGAGGTGTTATAGAACTGGAAGTGCGCCTCAATACGAGGCGCCGATGATCGGACCGAAAGCGATAATTTGAACGAGGAAAGACCCTCCGGAGTCCGAATATGGCCGTCATCCTTCACAACTGTCAAGAAGCGGTCGTAGAGCTCCTTCTCAGTTGTGAGGTCCTCAAACGTCCCATCGGCGATGCGATCCAACAAAGGAAAATAGGCGGTGGAGTTTTCTTCTGCAGCAGACTCCCTACATTGAATTAATTAGCCATCATATTGACATATATATCCCAGGCGAGAGATCACTCAATGTGCAACGTACAGGAGCTCGACGAGGTATGGGGCCGAGTCAAAGGAGGCTTGGAGCGCCACGTTCACGGCTGGACTAGCATTGGCAACCCAGCCTGGTAGCAGAGCTCCGACGACGGCATACCACTGCCAGGGAATGTGAGATCCCGTAGGAACCCTCATTATCGCGCAATGTAGTGTGAGAAGGCAGTTGTGTATATCTGTTGTATGGTATAGGGGATAGCCTCGTATCAGGCGAGCCGTATGTGATGCAGGGTGGGCTTCCTAATTAGCAGATATGCAGGTCAATCCATTTACAATCATCACGCCCCAAATAACCAGGGATCTCAACAAAGACGGCAGTGAGATCGAGAATGAATCTGCTGATCTGATCTGGACACTTGGGAAGTTTCGCTATCTTATCGCAGCTTCTACGGCGGACTGAGCGGCAACTGGCGCAACCCCCAATCCCCGAGTATACCTAGATGGCGACTACATATTCTACCCCGCGTTGTATCGCATTGGCTACAGTAGTAAGATCCTATGTGTATCTATATCTACTGGATGAGAGATGGGAGGGAGAATGATAAAGATAAAGGTAATAATAATTGTTTCAAATCCAGTGAACTGGACGCTATCGTGAAGACATTAAGTCGTAAATCAACCCCCATATGCTTTCCGTCCAAACGCCTTTTTTTGTTCCGAAACATACTAAGGTAAGTCACATAAGTGCAGCCAGGCTGGCTCTGCACAACAGAGGCCTAGCATTGGCATAGTTGGAAGCGAATGCTCCCTCTCGGTTTTGTGCTTGCAGGGGGGCGACTGCAGCGAGGATGAAAGAAGAGTAAGGGATGACCGAGTCGAGTGCTAGAAATCAAGGGGAAAGGGAGGGGACGTTGATTCCCCTCCCTTGGCTGGGCTTTGGGTTTTTCTTTTTTTTTCTTTTTTTGGTTGCTGGTTTGCTTTGGTAGGAGTTGCAGAGAAGTTGCGATTAAGTGGCCTGGCCGATGCTTTCGGCCGCCTCGGTAGCGCCGACTGCCTTGCGAGCTTGGGCTTCATCAATCAAACGCCGGCGCTTGTCTTCGGTCAAATCGAAAGATATATTTGCCTTGAACTTTGGTGGTGTCTTGACACTCTTGATGCTCTTAGTGCTGCTCTTGGCGCTGCTAGTCGGACTAGTGAGTTTTCCGAGGGATTGCATCTTCTTCAGACTGCGCGCAAACTCCTTCTGCTGCTCCTTCTTGGGATCCTTCTTCTTGCCCCATGCTGACAGGGAGGAAAATCGTTCCAGGAACGAACCATGCTTGCTAGTGCCTATGGTCGGTTCCGGGAAATGAGGCAGGGGCTTTTCGGTGTCTGAAGAGTGCGAAATAGTAGGACAGGGACCGAAATCGACGCCGAAGCTGATACCCGAATCGGTGCGGCGCTGCACGCCAGACTTGGTAATTTGACAAGGCTCGTTGATCAAGACACATTCGTCGATCATCTCGAGGGCTGCGTTCATGTATCGCTCAATGGTGGCATGCAATGCAGGCCATCCATTCTCATCACCGGGTGCAGCGCCTTGCTGTATGATAGGTTCCACGATTGAAGGATCAGCCTCAAAGGTGGTAATGTATTTGAAAAAGGTATCACGATAGAGCCCAAGGGTGGCAGTCGACAACTGCTGTGTTGGGGTAGAGCTGTCTCGGTGGACAGGTGGGAGTAGAGTGTTAAGAAGAGCAAGGCAGTTGGCTTTGTCGAATGGCTCGAGCATCATCTGATTGACAAGAACCTGAGAAACAAACGTTAGACACACAACTCGCTATTCCGATCTCGGGATAAAACTTACCCAGCGACGCAGGCCGATATAGACTTGAGTGTACAGAAAATCGATCGTGCGTGCCTTGTTGCTGATGTTTTCGTACCAGGTCAACAAGTTAGGATAATTGCGAGCCACCTCCGAGTGCTCAGGGTCCCTTGCATCCTCTGAAGTTACGTTGAGTCGGTTGAAGGCGGCATCAATCTCCTTTTTCCAGCGATTTTGGAGGGTTCTGATGTAATCAAGGGCAGTCAAAGCCTGGGCAAAGTCGACTTCGGACAAATCCAAACAGAAACAGCGGCGCACAAATGAGATAATGAAGCTGGGAGGGAGCGCGCAAGGTTGAGAAGGCACTTCGGCGACAGTCTTGCTCAAACAGGCACGGAATTCGGCATTAGTGTCATAAGAAGGAGCATCGACAGAAGACTTGGAGTTGTGGCCTTTTTTGGACCAAACGGTATCGCGGAAGATGGAGGGTGATCGAGGAATAAATGAAGGTGTCATTGTGCTCTTCGACGGGTGGCAATTGAGTTCGTATGCAGCACGAAGGGAAATTTCGTAGCTGTCAGCGTAACGCAAGCAATGATCAAAGATCCACGTCAATGCTGTCCCGTCGGGTGCATCCAATGTCTCATAGTAAGGGTCTGGAGACATGCTATGAATATTTTGAAGGACTGGTGTCGGGACAAGAAAAAGTGTTTTAGGGATAAGATAGGAAGAGAGAAGAAACGAATGCGAGTCCAGTGGCCAAAAGAGCGATATTTATGAGTCGTAGCGGCTGGGATAGCTCAAAGGCCGTCAAGGGGTAGCTGGAGACCTGATAGGCCCAAAGAGGAATAGAAGACTGATGGAGGGGACCCGGTTGGTCGGATCAGCCCTGGGGTACAAGGAGGCCAACAAAGAAAGAAAAAGCTTTTGCGACTAGCGAGTACTTTTGTCTCTAGGATATCCCTTGAGAAATAAACCAATCACGACACGGGATCTGTTGGATCTCCTGCACGCCAGATCTGATGTATGCAAAAAAAACGCAAGAAAGCGGCTTCAATGGCTAGCTTCCGGCTGAAACGTGAGACACGTCTTAACTCCCTTCAAGGATCGAGTAGAGAACGTTAAACAGAGAAAGGACCAAAGTGGCTGGGAATATGAGACCAAGTGAATGTAGAGGGAAGTCAAGGAGAGTTGAGGAGGAAGAGTTCAAAATAGTTCGGTGGAGGGGAACAGTCCCATACAAAAAGGCGCGAGCTGCTGCCCTTTGGCTGGACCATTCTACAAGGTGGAGACGCACTCGAGCGCAAAAGTCCGCGAGAATCAAAATCTGGAAATCCAAATTGTTTAAATGATTTATTGATTTTTTTATTTATTTACATTAATCATTTAAATTGTTTTTCTTTTTTCTTTGCGTGTGATTTATTTTTATTTATTATTTTTCTTTGTTTAAATCAATGAAACCCATAATTTAATCAATTTAACTAAGACAAACCCCTCCCTATCCGAGTCCAGATCCATGGATTCTGTTTTTTTAAAGCTACTCCACCTGCACCGACCCGCTGGAACATGTCATTAGCTCCGATTCCTATGGTTTACCATTGGCGTGGAATGCTTCAGAGACAGCCGTTGACCCCACTAGCCTACGTTGAACACCTTTCCTCTTCAGGTAGGTTCCAAGCCAAAGAGCCTAGCTCACATTTATGATTGGATTATCATCCCCCGTGCCTTTCCGGAGACGACTAGTGCTGTCTTGCATTTAAGGCTCCAGTGCACGCGGAACCCTAACGTTGTGACCGGGAACTGGGGGAGCCGTTACGCCTACCAAATATTTTGGCTCTGTCATATTCACCAGTGCAGTGTAATGTTCTTTATGCAGAAGGCGACAGGTCAGTTTAGAAGAGGCGATTTCTCGGAAATTTGCCTCCGTGTCAGCTATGTATTACCCTCAGCTTATGTCTACCATGCACTGCAAGCAGATCTTTCCAGATTGTGGCTCATGTTGGCCACGTACCTTTGTGAAAATCTAAAAACAACATACACAGACTATTTTTTTCTCTGTACCCATGAGTGTCCATTATTATTATAGTACAGCATGAACCATCCTGTCGCCCTATCTATTTTCAACCCTTCAATTCATAATACGTAGATCCGATGAACAGTTACGATTGTGTTGGCTTCGATCGCCTATGGGCCCCTGGATATAGTACATACACAATATGGAGTATGTATACCTGCAACTTCTATATTGTGTTCATATATATCCCTGGTGATGAACCCACTTGTGACCGTTGCATTGGGCACTCGAAAAAGGAGCCGTTGGAGCAGTCACACGGGATAAAGCAAATTTTATATATACAAGAGCTAGAATATCCTCAGTGCTTTTAAGTCAATCATTCATCTGCAGACAGCCGGAGTTAATAGACATTACCTATGGTCTTCCACAGTAACCTGACTACGATACTACTGTCAGTAAGTGCCTAAGGCATACTAGTCTAAGGCGTTTTTTGTTCGCCGATGATACTCCGTAGGTCCACTTTCCAACCTTCAGGATTTGCTACATCAACTCAATTTGATACTTGGGATTCTTAAAAGTGAAGATCAAACATCAAATATGCACATGATCTAACTTTCATCATTGAAACAGGCGAAACAAATTAACACTGCCCAGTTGACCCACCAGCCCGCCAATTTGGCGACCTTCCCAAACTAGTTTGGTGTACATCACTGCCCAGCTTTCAGCTCGAGGTGTATGTCGATCCATCAAGCCTAGATGTGTTGATCGTCAACGCCTTGGTTCACATTCGATGTTATACCGTAATCCGTACTCCATATGTTGACCAGCCTCAGGGGAAAATTTGCCAGACCATCGGGGGCTCACGTGGTGATCGCCCTTATTGTACTCTATATGGAGTACGGAGTGCTCCGTACCCTACTCCTTACTCCGTCCAAGATATGGATATTGCGAGAACCAGCTACCGAATACTCGGGTCAACAGACACTTTGGACCCTCTTTGCCTCGATACCTACATACATAAGATGCCGCAACGGTGCTTTGATCAACTAGAATGTACGGAACACCTATCAAAGCCATTCCTTAAATATTGGACGAGATGCCCAAGCGGCCCCTTGGGTATCTACAATATAGAAGGAACTGCCTGTTCATATCGATGTTCTCCACTTTAAACTATATAGGACGGAGTCCGGAGTGGGAAAAAGTACCCCTTTACACATCAATCGCCCTTAATCTGAATAGGCCTTAACTGAGCATTCTCGATGCGTGTGCTCCATACGGATAGTCACATAAACCGAGAGACCAGGATCACCTGGTTAGAAGCCCCATTCAGAATCATAACAAAGATCACACTGCTCATCGCCGTTCGAGATCTGCAGTCCACTGCCCACTAGTCTCTTGAATTACGGAGTGTGGTTATGAGCTAATATCTTCTCTCCGAAACGCAACAAGCCGGTGTAGGTATTACTAGGCGATAAGGCGTGTTCCGGCACCTGGAAACTCCATCCGATCAAAAGGACTTCTGGCCCACCCAAATAGATGACCATGCCTGTACTCCGTACTTAGGTCCACCCTGCCAAACACAAAGTATTGCTCAATGACCCCATACCCGGGCCCAGTGCTGGACAGTAGGCCTGCTAGCTTAGTGAAAAAAGAACCTGACAGGAGTCTGGGCGTTTGGATCATGGTAACAGTTGAGTACAGTATGTACATAACTTAAGCCAACGTCTTTAATGCGGCTCAGGAATGTGGAGTAGGCTTTCAAGTCAACCTTACTTCCCTTTCAATCGAAAGTAGAAAGTATACGGAACATCACCGGTCTGCAGCACACCGCGGGCCTTCCGAAGCGAATCGCTAGGTTTTCTCCTTTACACTCAAGTACATCAACAAGTGCATAGAGCTACATAATTATGTGGATGATCAGGCTACTGATATCAAATTAGTGAGAAGGTGCTACCTAATTAGGTATCATACAGTTTGCCGATCTACTTTGGAGAAATACCTAGTTGTAGCTTCCCAATTCCCAATTAGGCAGGTTCAACAGGCGATGACATAAGCAGACCACATCACCTGGGCAGGCGGCCGGCAGAAAAAGGCAGACGATAAGACGTGCAGCTCTAATACTTCGACTTGATTTTCCAAATTTTCATTCGTGCAAGGCATATATTAGCCATGGCAAAGGGGCTATTGGAAAGCAAGCTCCAGTTTGAGAAAAAGAACAAAGACCTTATTAGACTCCCAAAACGTGCGCCTTCCCATCCGATCGCCTAAACGGCCAATGCTGAGAACCGGGGATCACAACTGCTGACTTTTGGATAACAGATGCCAAAGTCGAGAAGCGTCCTATACCTCATGCCCCAGTCGCATCCCCATATGCTGGCGCATTAGTACCTAAGATTGTCTATGTGTCTAAGACTACGCCATTCATGAGCGCCGTCAAGCGCGTCCAGAAACTCCTGCTGCAGGCCGAGAAGCGCGCCACAGCAAACATCAATCTCGAGGATACGCGCAAGAACGATAAACAGATACTCGAGGAGTTGTCGAAGATACCAGAGAAGCGAGAGAAAGTTTTTGTGAAGGCGACAGGGCGGGCTATTGAGAAGGCGCTGAACGTAGCCAAATGGTTCGAGGAAAAGGAAACCGAGTACACAGTCTGTGTCAATACGGGGAGCGTGGTTGTCGTGGATGATATCGTCGAGGACGAAGAAATTAAAGCAAAAGAAGAACAGAAACGGCAACGGCAGCAAGAGCAAACCCCAACTGACCAGGGAGATGCGGCTTCTAAGCCGGAATCCAAGTCAGCCGCAAAGAAGAGGAAACGTCAGGCCGCCGCGGTAGAGGATGATGCCGAGCTCCCCGAGAGCCGGATAAGGTGGATCAAAATGGTTGAAGTCGCCGTCAGCCTTAAGTGAATTCGCTTGCGGTCACCCCGACAAAACTCCTACGATTAGTCGGTCATCCGATTGCACGACCATCATCTGCTGGATGTTCAACTCCAAGGCTTCACACCCATTGCTGCGAACCAACTATGAGCCTGTGGCCAAGCCCAGAATTACCCGCTAGAACATTGAGTACACGCACATCCTGCTGAGTGACTACGATCCAAATGGAACGCTGATGGTGACTATACACCACCCAGTAACCCAGTTCAGGAGATTTTTATCCTGAATTCCTGTTCTGGGTTGCAGTCGAGCCCTCAAGCCTTTTTTTACCACCCTCACCGCTCTACAGGTGCAATATCCACATTACAGGTGCGGAAGGCCCTTGATCAGGATCAGTCAAGGAACAATTTGTTTGCCCTTAGGTTATTAGCCTAGCGCAAAATCATGTACATTGAGAGTATACTTCAGAAATAAACTCTGATTTCCCCAGAGCGCATGCTCCATCCAACCGACTTGACGCACTGTATATGCTGGACGGACTTATATGGAAAATGAAAGAGAGGGAGATAGGACTATAGGTTGAAGGTACTACTCCAATAAGAAAAGAGGTTAAAAGAGGGAGAATGATCGAATTTGCCAGCGAATAACAAATGGCATGAATAGAAAACGACATAGTACGAATAAGAACTCCTTGATACGCTCACAAAGCCCTGTGCTGACATGACATGATGAATGATAATGCCTGAAAACCCTTTGTCGAACGAAACGTTTCA